CCGCGGGGTCCGCCCGCCCCGTGCGGGCACAGCGGGCCCCTCCAGCGCGACCCCGCACGGCGTCGTCTAGGAAAAAGCCCCTGCAGTTCCCAGGCTCCCCATCCAGGACGGCATCCTTAGAAAGAGACACGCTTCTGAACCATTTGCTGTTGCTGTGCGCGGGCAAGTCCTCGCTCCCTCTGGAGCAGAAGCCCCCCAAAACGCCCTGGCCGCAACAGCCCTGCTCGGCTCCTCTTACTTTATTCAGGCCCGCCTGAAGGCGTCCGTCCATCCCTTACCTGGTCTTCCTTCTCTTCTCCCGCCTTCGCCTTTCCTGGAGAGGATGGCGGCCTCCTCCAGGCAGTCTGACCTTCTCATGAAGCGCCCACATAGGGCAGCCTGGCTTTTGCCGTTTTTGCTTCCAGGGAAATCTCTGGCTCGATTCCCTCCAGGCCCCCACCAGTGCCCGTTTTTCTGCCCATCCAGCGTATTTGCAAAGCTCTCCTCCCCAAAGCACCACAGTTTGAACATTCCCATTTTCTTCCTGTCGGCTTTCTTCATTGCTCAGCTTTCACACCTGTACACAATTGTGTGAATGGCCTTGCCTTTAAACCCAGTGAAGCATCCTTACGTTTCATTATCTTTTCCAGTTCATTTGGGAGTGTAGAATATTAATCTCAGTCTGCTGGGATCACCTGATAGGAATCCTTCCTGGGAAATGGACTTCTTGCAAGCACTTAGTTTCTGGTTTGGTTTTTAATGAAAGTTCAGACACACCATCCTCTAAGCCGTGCACCTTATCTAGACAATTGCATGCAAAAACCTCATGAGAAACCAAACAGTACACACACACACACACACACACACACGTGTTATGTGAGGCTCTTGTAACTGGCCTGCCCATGGTTTCCCCCATCCTTTTTCTCACTCTAAAAAGCACCCCACACTAAATCTGCCATGCAGGGACTTGTTGGTGCCTGTCCCACTGAGCACCAGTGCTCCCACACCCCTGCCGTGCGGGCGGTTGTGGGTCCCTTCATCTCAGACAGGTTACACCACTGAAAAGGGTGCAGAAGGGGACAACGCAAAGGACTGGGGGCCGAAAGGAAGAGGTACTATGCCTCTGAGGTGAGGGGCGTGATCAAGCCTATAAAAGAATGAAGAAGACGAAAAGGTTATGAAGAAAATGGGTAGCTTCCCTCCCAGTGGTAGAATTCGGGGCCGTCTAATTAATTTGATTGGTCGCAGAATCAGGATAGGCGAAAGCAAGAATGTAAAAGTGTTCCAGAAAGTTGTCCACTTCTCTCTCTCAGCTTGCAGGTTCATTGCATGGGGCCTCAAATTATGGCCCGGGGGCCGGATCCAGCCCTCCACGCCTATTTGGACCTGCCACACGCGCGCCTGCACCCATGCGCACACCTGCCGCCACCCACCTCGCCCCGTGTGCAGGGAGGCAGTGGTTTGCTCATTCGGAGAAAACGCTCTCCAAGCAAGCAAACCGCTGCCTCACGCACCCGCCTCGCCTCGCCTCCCCTCACTGTGCGCCCCACCCCCTCCTCAGCGCACGCCCTCGCCCCCGCTGCCCCCTCGCCGGCCCGCACCCACCGCTGGCACCGCCTTTCCAGCCTGTGCCCGGCACCGGCACCTTTCAACTGGCCCCCTGGTGAAAAAGTTTGAGGACCCCTGGTTCATTGGATTTTTAACCTATCACCACCTATAGATTGCAGGCCTCTTCTGCTGCCTCTCTAGCCTAATAATGAAATTTGAATTGTGGTGCTGGAGGAGACCCCTGCGAGTCCCTTAGACCACAAGACAATCAAACCGGTCAGTCCTAGAGGAGATCAACCCTGACTGCTCTTTAGAAGGTCAGATACTGGGGATGAAACTCCAATACTTCGGCCACCTAACGAGAAGAAAGGACTCCCTGGAGAAGAGCCTAATGTTGGGAACAATTGAGGGCAAAAGAAGAAGGGGACGGCAGAGGATGAGGTGGCTGGATGGAGTCACTGAAGCAGTCAGCGTGAGCTTAGGTGGACTCCGGGGGATGGTGGAGGACAGGAAGGCCTGGAGGAAGGTTGTCCATGGGGTTGCAAAGAGTTGGGTGCGACTTTGCAACTGAACAACTATAGCTGATGACCTGGCAGGCAAAGACAGCTTTCTTTAAGAAGGCATTTAGACAGGAAGAATGCAATGCACTGTAGCCCTCCAAACTCAAGTATTATGGGCATCCTATGGAAAGTTGGAGGGACTCGGAGAAGCTCACTTCTGTGCTCCTCCCATGTGGCAAAACACTTAGGAAGCTACGTTTGGCCATCCAAGTGGAGGGAAAAGGCTGCAAATCCTGGCGCTGCCTGGCTCCTCCCACCCCTGTCCTTGAGACACCCCCTTGGCCCTTCCTCTGAGCTTGCTTGTGGAAACTCAGAGGTCCAGCAGGTGTTGTGGAAACTCAGAGCTCCTATGGAAAACAAAGCCTCTCTTTATAGAATTAAGAGATTTGAAAGCCCAGAACTCCTGATGAAATGTATTTATAGCGCCGTCAGAAGACACCTTAACTACCCTGAAAAGAAGTTAAGTAAAAGCCCTGTGCCAACTGTTTTAAACATAGCAGCCTGGTCCAACCAAGGCACCACACTTTAGATTTAAGGATATTTCAGGGAAAACAAAATCACTTGTTTCAAAGATAAGAAATGTTGAATGCAATGATACAATATAGATGCAGAATATAAACAAGTGAAAGAAAGCTTCCACAATAGGGGAGATCAGCCTATATAACACCCTGCACTGGTTGGGAATGGGTGGGTCTAAAATATGGGAGAAGGTTGAAGCTATCTCCTGTTATGCAGTTCAACCCTAATTGTCACCTGCTCTCCCCATGACCTTTAGGCATAGGGCAATAGCCTGCTGCCCCAACTGAGCCTCTCAGCAAAGCCAAACTTGCTTTTCATCTGTCGTCCTGAACAGCAAAATGAGAGGACTGTTCTGGGACCACTTCCCTCTGCAGTGGGTGGATGAGGCGCATGTAGAGAAGCTCTCCTTCTTTTCAGCCGGCCAACAAATATGGATGCTGAGAGTCCCAGCCTTCACCATCCCTTGCACTTTCAGAGACGCTAGTCGGCTAAGGAGGGCAGACTATGGGCTTGGGGCTCGGAAATACCCAAAAAATCCCAGGCGATATGGGAGCCTATAGGATCGTGCCCTTAAAGACACAGCCTCCCTTTACGCGGAAATCTACACAAAGGGGAGGGATGGACCTAGAACCTTTCTCCCTGACCTGCTAGATTTCTGCTGGCAGGGCGTCCTGCGAACGGGGAGCGGCCAGGAGCAGCACGGCCCTCGCGCACAGCGACACCTCCGGCGACCGACGGCGGCCCTCTATCGGCAAGAGAGCGCCTCTCCGTTTTTCTTTTCCCTTTTCTCTCATTGGTTCTCGGCCTCAGCCTTGCGACCAATCGCGGCTGCGCTCACGATGACGGCAACCAGCCGTAGAGATGCGGACTTTAGACTCACCATCTCTCTGGCAGCGCAAGGGCAGAAACGCTTCCAGTGACGGTTGCCGCGATTTTCCCACCGCCCAGTGCAAACCGCAGTGGAGGAAGGGTTTCCCAGAGAGCTTCTGGGAGGGGAGCGAGGATGCCGTGCATTCAGAGAGCGCAAAACGACCACAGAGTCTACTCACACTAACGGAAGTTCCCCCTGAGACACTCTACATTTCTATCTCTAGCTGCTGTTGCAGGCCATCCCGCCTTCGGATTGGCCCGAAGAGCGAACTCGCCCCGCCCCGGCGCGTAAAAGCCGCTTTTCTATTGGTGGGGAGGGGCACAGGAAAGCGAGGTCCCCTGCGGTGGGCTTACCGGGAAGCGGAGCGGCCCCGGGGCCGAGCGCGGCGGCGCCATGCCGGGCGGGGGGCCGCTGTGCTACGCGCTGCTGTGCGGGCAAGCGGCGCTGCTGCTGGGCAACCTGCTGCTGCTCCAAGGCGTGTCGCGGAGCCACCAGCACAACGCCACGGACAGCCCGGCGGCGCAGGGCCCGGAGCCGGCGCAGGACCCGGCCGCCGCCTCCGCAGCCTGGGACTACCAGGGCCCCTACTCGCCGCTCGTCCGCTGCGACCACCTGTGAGGAGCCCGGGGGCGGGGCCTGCGGGGGCGGGGTCCGCAAGAGGGCGGGGGCGGGGCCTGCGGGGCCCCCAAAGCACGTGTCCCGCCCGCCAGCCGCGAGTTGGGGGACACTTGCGCGGCAGCACGTGGTCTCCCAGGGCGAGAGGTTGCCAGGCAGGCATGGGAACCGATACGCCCTCCAGAGCCCGGGGCTCCCCTGCAGCTGCCCCGGGGTCAGCCCCACGAACAGGCCACTTCTGAAGCTACATGCCTTGCTCCCGGACTGGCTGCTGTGCTCCCGCTTCCATCAGCGCAGGAACTCTTATTTTCTTGTATATGATTTTATTGCATCACCACCCTGAGACATTGAGAGGGGCAGGATATAAAAGCTTTAAATAAATAAACATAATAAACTCTGGAGGTAAACCAGAGGCAACGGAGATGTAGTGCTGGAGAGAAGGAAGTAGGGCTGCAGCAGCCAGCGGTAGGGATGGGGCGAAAGGGACGAGAGGAGAATGGCCTGCTCGCATGAGCCTGTAGAAGATGGAGCTGGCTGGAGGGGCAGAAGGGGCGGCTGTGGGCAAAGGGAGGCCTTGGTGGCAGGAGGTATGTTGGAAGCAGAGAAGCCACCCCACCAGGAAGCATTCAGCTTTGCTGAGAGGTGCCTGAAGCCCAGGTGAAAGGTGTCAACTGGAGACAGCAAACAAATGGTTGGAAAGGCGCTGCTGGGGAAGGACCGTTAAGGGTTAATGAGGGAGCGGTGGGGCCGGAGTGGGGCTGGCCTCCATAGGCCTGTATTGGCTGCTGCAGTGCTCCACCTTGCGCTCGCGGAACAACTGAGTGGTGTCTTTGCAGACCTGAGGAGTTCATCGAGTGTGAGCCTCCCGTGGATCACGGTGGAAACACAAGCGCACGAGATGAAATGGGCCACGGGTGCCTCAAGGTGAGTCTGGCGCGGATCGTCTTGCCCCTTTAATATCTGATAAAGGCCTGGGAATGTGGGTGGGTGGGTGGAGAGAGCTCCGTTTTGAAACGCACGCATTCACAATACTGTTTCCTTAAATCACAGCAGCAACACCCCCCGTCTTCTGCTTTTTTTTGTCCCTGTATAGTTTGGTGGCCAAGCCTATAGTGATGTGAGCCACACTCGGGTTCTCTGCAAGGCCCTGGACGGGATTGAGTGCACAGGACGGCGGACTTTTCTGCGTGGGAATAAACCTTGCATAAAGTGAGTGCCCTTTCTTGACTGAGCCCAAAACAGGAGTGCGATGGTCGCACGCGTAACAGGTGGTGTGAGGGAGCAGCTCTCACTTCCCCCTTCCCCCTTCCGGGCCTTGCTGAATTGTGTTCCAATTGAAGGAACCATTTTCAGCAGTTAAAGGAAAACTGCCTGGGCCAGTTCTAGATAAGTGCATCCTTGTACGCTACTCATCTTTAAATATACTGCACCCTATACACTTCTGGTCATTGTTGCACAATGCCAAAGATCAGCCTTGAATTAATGCTTCCTCTTGCGATGATGCAACGGCTTGTAACTCGTGTTCAACTTGGTTTCCACCCAGGTACACTGGGCATTACTTCATAACCACTCTTCTCTACTCCTTCTTCTTGGGTTGCTTCGGAGTGGATCGTTTTTGCCTGGGCCACACGGGCACCGCAGTGGGGAAGCTGCTTACTCTTGGCGGACTTGGGATCTGGTGGTTCGTGGACTTAATTCTGCTGATCACGGGAGGACTGATGCCCAGTGACGGAAGCAACTGGTGTACCATTTACTGAACGCCTCCACCTCTGGACCTAAGCCAGAGACAATAAGGGAGTCCTGTTTTAGCTGGGACTACACTGGTGCGTTCTTTTTCTGCTGGAACTGGATCCTCCTAGATAAAATTAATGGGAAAATGCATACCCTGATTCCGCTGTACATACGCCTTTGCTTACACGGAAGCTAGCCTTTTCCTGCCTTGAAGGGACTAGGAAGACCTCAGCCTTGTGGAACAAACTGCTTCAATGAACTGACACTACTGCACATTTCTGTACCACCGGAGGTGGGTTATCCCACTCTGCTTAACCCTGGTTCTCAAGACTGCGTGCTTTAGAACATGTTTTCCAAATAAATGTGTGCAGCCAATATTTGCTGAAGGAAACTTACTAGATTAGTATGCACCTTAAGGTTAATCCTCGGAACGTTTCTGTCTCCCCCCCCCCCCCCCCCCCCCCGCAAGCCTATTTTCATTGTTTCCATGTTTTACACTGCTTAAATATGGTGGGCTGGTGAAGTCCAGACCTGGTAAGTGTAAAGTGTGGAAGATTCATCTTAAAAATGGGTCCATTTTAATCTTTCTTTAATCAGTCAAAAAGCTGTTGTTTTAAGCCATGTCTACATAGCAGGAAGACTTAAAAGCAGAGATGGTAAATGTTGCCAGAATTTGCATGGGCAAAAGGGGGGCTCTGTTTGGTCATTCCAGTATTCCAAGCAGTGTGCCTCTTTGGAAGTAACTTACTGCAGCTTTTACTGGAGTCCGGTTCGTCAGGACCGCCTGACAGCAGTTCCTGGCATTAGGCATGGTGATCTTTAAGTGCCTTTTCCCTGCGGAATCGTCTGACCAAAAGAGCATTTCTCCTCCTGCTTCTGCAATTTTGTCTCACTTGGAGGAAAGTTTTTTTTTTTTTTTTAAGCAACATCTTGACCATGTCTCACTTTCCTCATTGCAGCATCTCATGATTTGCATATACTAGAAAACTAGCATGAGGTGCGCAAAATTATTTCATTTGCCGTTTCATCAGGCTGTAATTTAGGATTCTAACCGCTTGCTTCAGAAGAGGAACATTTAATCGATTTCATCGGGTGTTACTGTCAGGCTCAGGTCTTGGTTTCCTCTCCGCACCACAACGGTGAGCGTGGCAGCGTTCTGGACAGCGTCTGTGACATCTTCTGTTGAGGTGACCCTTTTCCCATCAATCGATATAAGGACATCACCATCTTGCAGGCCAGCACTGCAACCAAAGCCGAAGATTAGGGAAAGCAGCTGAGGTGCCCCTAGTACGGCGTAATTCAGCAGCAGCTTAGAGCTCGAAGCTATTCTGGTCGCTTGGCACCACCCGTTCTAGCCCTGGATAGCTTTGCTAAAACTGAATTTGGGCCTCTGACTGGCAAGTTCCCTGCCTGTACAGTACAGTAAATCTTCATTAGCCAACAGATTTCTGCACAGGTGAGACTTCTCTGAGCGTGCAGGTGCCGGCTTTAAGCTTCGAACCTGCCCCTTTTACAAGGAAGCTGTAGGAGTGTATCATATTCTGGCAGGTGTGGTTTTAATTTTCTTGCAATTTCACATGTTTACTATGAACAGCCTGCAGCTCCATTGTGTCACAGGAAGGCAGGATATGACCATCCAACGGAAAGGTCCCTGCTGTGACGATCTCCCTGGGCCTACGGCAGCATTCACCCTCCGCAGCCAGCATCCCTCCTCTCCTCTGCCCTCACCGCAGCAACAGCACTGACAGAGATGCTGCGTGCTCACGCGGTGTTCCCACACCTCCAAAGTTTCTTAGCCCATTTCTCAGCAGTGAATCGCTCTTCATGCTGGCAGTTTAGTGGATGCTCCTCTTGCAAAGTTCAAAAGAATGGTGCACCTTTGCTTTTTCGCGGCAGGCCAAGCGGACAGGAAGCGGGAGGTGCTCTCTGCACCGTCACTGGTTTCCACAGCACGCCAGAGAAGGTGCTCAGAGACTCTGCTTACCTTTCAGCAGCTGTCCCCTGAATCACTTCATAGACGTAGACACCCACACCAGGGCTCAGCGCTGGGAAGTCCCTGTCCCGCCGTCTCAGCTCACGGATGAGGCTGTGAAAAGAAGAGCATCACACGTCCCTCAACTGGGCAGTTTAAAATCCCACGCTAAATGCAGAAATCACAAACCAGGTTATTAAAAAACAAAACACCCATGCTGCACAACTGAAGGGTGAAGGCAAGTCCAGTATCCTCAGCAGAAAATTGGGGACAGACATCTAACTACCCCCTGCTCCCCAAAAGCCCCCCAAGTTAGAATTCATCCACAGGGTCTGGCTTCCCTCCTATTAGCACAGTGAAGGTAATCAGTGCCGGTAATAATGCGATTGTCACTGTATGTATTTAATTTCCCGCTGGCTCTGCTGTTTCAATCCCCCCCCCCCCCGCACCTTTCCTGCTCCCTGAATGGCCAGTGCAGAAGCCTGAAATTCTCCGTACTGCTCCAAGCATCTGATGAAGTGAGCTATACTGCAAGGTCACTCACACTGGAATAAAAGTTTGCCTTTAAACTGCCATCTCTGCTGTTGTTTTTCTGAAATAAACTAGATGGTGGAATGACGCACAGGAAACTCCTCCCGTGAGGGAACATTCCTGGCCAGGCAGGTCCTATACAGGTATGAGCTTTGGGGGAAGGAAATGCAGGTGACAGCAAAGAGGGGAAAGCGCATCCATTGCCACTTCCCCCCTGGAGTGGCTAAATGCCCCGTCTTAAGAGAATACTCCCTCTGAATTAGGAATAAGCTTGGCACACTTGTTAACCTCCAATTATCAGGGCGAAAGATAAAGCCTGAATAAAAACTCTACAGGTTAAAAAGAGGAAAGCATGCAGAGTTACAAAGCCTGCTTGAAAGCTTAAATAATACTTTATTTATAAAACAACAAGACTGGTCAGATTTGCAACACTATCTGGGCAATATTCAGTGGGAAACCTGGTTTTCAATCGGGTCTTTAAATGCTCCTTTTTTCTTCCTGATCTGGATTGTTGATTTGAAATTCTCTGCCCCGGAAGATCATAAAAGCATGTTCTGGGTGGCTGCACATTCAAGTTAGATGCTCCTGGTAATCAAACACGCAAGGCAACAGAGGCTTTGCGGAAGCCGGTTTGGGCACTGGGGTAATTCTGGAGGTGGGTACAGTTGCGGGATGCCAGTGTAAAAACTGTGGATGCAGCATCCAAGCAAGAATATGGGAAGAGGCAAGAAATAAAAGCTTACTTGAAGGTGAGCGGAAGCATCCGGAGTCCCAGATACTTTTTCTTGGGTCTAATCTTCCCTAGAGAGAGGGAGGGTAAGAAGCACTCTCAAAAAGCTGAGCAAAAAAAGCATGGGAAAGGCTTGCTCCAGATCACACACAGTGCCGTTTCTCCCAGGGGGTTAAATCACGCCACTGAGCACTTTTTCAAGTCATGCTGAAACATACGGGGTGACACGAAAGCCATCCCAGTGGCCCACGTGATTCCCAATGGGAAGCCCACAAGATGGACATGAAAGTCACTTTCCAGGCAGCACCTTGTGTACACCCTGCAGGTTCAGGCAGCCGGACAGGTGTCTGTGGGTTTTACATCACAAATCCAAGAGGCAGCCTCCCACACTCTCTCCTCACACTCTACCTTTCAGCTGGCGAGCGTGAGAGCCTTCCAGGAACAGGCGGATCCGGTCCGAGGGGATGGCGAAGGAGATGCCGGCTGTAACTTTCAGGGTGTTCATCCCGATGACTTCACCATCCTGTTGGGCAGAGCAGAGTTGCTGGGAGCAGCCTGGGGGCTTTTCACCCCCTGAACATGCCAGCCAAAAAGGGGGAACATGAGCTCAGGAAGAACATGGGGACCTGATTAGTACAGAAGTGTAATTTCCTGTATCGGATTTTGTGACTGCACGCTTACCAGGAGGTTAATAGTAGCTATTTTCAAGTGAGATATTACATACTTTATAATTTTTCTCAAAACAAACAGTTGGTTTACATAATTTTTGTTTTAAAAAATTGATATTTATCCTTTCAACCATGTATGGAAGAGCAGTTCAACTGCCCACCTGAACATGGCTTAACTCATTCTTTTAGGAGCAGGGATCAGGAAGGGTTGCTGCAGAAGGACCGTTGTAATGTCTACGGTGCATCCATCATGTCTGCTTTCTTCCAGCAACCCAGGATGGACTTTTGCTGACCGTGACATCCAAATCCAGACTGAGCTGTTCACAGAAAAAACAACCCATGGTTTGTTGTTGGGTTAGTTGCTGGCTTACTGAGCTCCTGAACAACCCAGCAGTCTGGGTTCAGAGGTCATGTTCCACAATCTACAAGGGTGTGGATTGTGGGATAAAAGTAGAAGAGGCATAACAACCTGTTGGTTTTTTAAAGGATGGGCTTTCATTAAGGAACATGGCTTCTCAGTGAGACAGAACAGCCAATGAACGAAGGCTGCATTAGTTACAAAAAAAACATGTCTGGAAATATTAAAGTCTGCCACTGAGGTCGGAAAGAAGCAAAATGCAAAAGGTGACTTTCATATTATTAAGCGTGGTCCTTCACCGTGCAGTTCTCACTGTTTATGACTCGGTGTCTCTGGGCTCAAAAGCCTCCTAGACAGGAAGACGGGGCACTTCTTACTCTGGAGAAGGTTAGTAAAGCAACGGCAGTTCGACAGCTGCCGGAGGAATGAGGAGAAAAAGCACTGGAAGGACTTCAAAGGGGACAGCACCATGGAAGGTTAGGAAAAAAGATGCTGGAAAGAGCATCTTACCAAGTTCACCAGAGGCCCTCCGGAGTTCCCATACTGCAAAAAAAAGAATAGAATCGGAGAGGGCTCTGCCGCCTTGTTCCAAACCCATCTCCTCTGGAAATTCCCTTGAGTACTACAGGATGTCACCCTACGTGTGTTTAGCTAGAAAGAAGCCCTACAACTCCTGGCATGCCCCCTTTTCTGTCTAAACTTCCTGGTCTTTTCTTGGTTGGTTATTATTGGTTTTATGCTGATTTTGTTGTATTGCTTTGTGGCACTGATTTTATGTTACCTGCCCAGAGGCCCTACGGCTAACTGGGGGGCATATAAATCAAACCAATAGAATCAATCAATCAATCAATAACTGGGAGCCCAGGATAGGCTTCTTCACCATGAATTCAGATTATCCTTTTTAAAAGGATCCAAGCCAATGTCCATCTCTACACCCTGTAAAGGCAAATGCAATTTTGCCAGGATTTGCACAAAGAACATCCAGCTTGCAAGTCTACAGAATTTTCGGAGGTTCGGAGTGCAGAAAGAAGCCACATCTGTACGAGGCGCCAGTCTCTCTGACCGAGTCCACTTCTGCCACTGGAGCACCTGCTGTCCGGGACTCCTAGCCGCATCCCCACATGTGCTCCAATGAACTTACGGAGCTCTAGCACATGGGGAGTGTTGTGCTGACTGGGGATAATGGGTGTTGTAGTCCAACACACCCTGAAGGCACTGGGGTGAGGCACATAGCCTTAAGATACCTTGAATCTGGATTGCAAGGAAGCAAAATGCATGGGGGTGGAAAAATGGGGATCCACCCAAGCACACAAGAGGGTGATTGCATGAGTAAACGAAATTCAAAATATTTCTGTCCCACTGGTCTGCTGAAAAGAGCAGTGTAGCTTATATTCTGCCTGTAAAATAGGACGATCCCTGCCTGCGGGTTCACAATCTAAAAAGACACAGCACACAAGGCGAAAGGAATGGGGAGGGAAGAGGAAAACTACTTTTCAGCAGGGCTGGCAAAACGAGCCCACTTCCCCCCCCCCCCCCGCCCCGGCCGTACAGCCGACTAGAATGGCTGCTGCTGTTCCACCACTCCCCGCACGGCTCCATTTCAGACCCAAGAGAAGCTGCGTGCTAAGCCAGGCCTCGTGCAGTGCGAGCAGGGCGCCCTTACGTTGATGATGGCGTCAGTCTGGATGTATTCCATATCCGAGTACTTCATCCCCAGCTCCTTGCCATCTCGCTGCGTGCTGCTCACGATGCCTGTCGTCACGGTGTTCTGCAAGGAGAAGGGGCTCCCCAGAGCCACCACGAACTCCCCGGGCCGCAGGTCAGTGGATCTTCCCAGCAGCAGCACAGGGAGGACCATCTGCACACGGACGGGGAGCCATGCTGCATTACGCCCCACCGGCCCAAAGCAGCTTGCAAGGTTTTCCTCACAGCAACCCTGTGAGGTAGGCTAGGCTGAGACTGGCAGGTCACCCAGGGGGCTTCAGGGGTGAGTGGGGGCCACAACCCACATCTCCTGAGTCCCAGTCAACTCTCTGCCCACTATATTCCGTGGCTCTAAAGGCTCAGTAACTGGCAGGCAGATTTAACTTGGGCTGCTATTTATGCTCACCAATCACTGGAAAGTCAAATGAATGACCCAGAAGGGAAATGGGCCCTCAACACCCATGCCAAAAAGCTACAAGGAAAGCCCCAAGCTCTGCCCAGACCTGACCCAGTTAATAAGTCACAATGCTGAAATTAGCAGCCTCTCTCTCCTGCAGCCCTGCTTAGAAAGGAGGTCTGACACCCTCCCCGAGGAAGGAAACGAGCCGAGGAAGCCTATTTGCCTCCAGGACCTCTTGCCTTGCTGGGAAAGGGTGCTACTCACATCCGTGTCGATCTTGATCAGGGCGATGTCCAACTTGTTGTCCAGGTCCTCCACTCGGGCATCGAACTGGTGGCCGCTCTGCAGCTCCACTTTGATCCTCTGCTTGTTGGAGAGCACGTGGGCGTTGGTGATGATCAGGCCATCCTCGGACATGATGAAGCCCGACCCGCTGGACACCAGGACCTCCTGGTTTGTGTACGGAGACCTGCCCCCAGACCACCAATCAATCGATCAATGAAAGCCCACTCACTGACTTTATAATCTTCTAACCCAAAGGCAAGCCCCCCATGGCATCCGGAACACAGGAGGAACTGTGGTGGGTGTTCTGAGGAACCTCCTGCTAGGAGGGCTTGTCCATGCATAAACAGAGACCATGGTAGGGGGCTTGCCCCCCCCCCCGAGCGAGTAGGAGGAAAGCATCGTGCTGCAAGAATCCAAGAACAAGGCAGAGCTACAAAGCACAAATGCCAGCCCGGGATACCTGTTTCCATATAGCCTTAGCAGACCATTCAGGTCATCCCTCCTTCATGAACCTTCCCCAGATGAGGTCGGGGGGAAACTGGCAAAGAAAAGGACCGACTCTGCCATCACCTTCCAAGGGACCCGTGACTCCCAGCCCCCACTTGACCTTGCTTTCAGCACCACGTTAAGAATTATTTAGTGTCTGTGACCACTAGCCTTGCTGCTTGCTTTATTGTTCTATTGGTTGTTGTTTTATTGGTTATACTGTTTATTTTTCTCCTGTTGTATTTGTATTATTCTGTTTCTACTGTATGTTAATCCCATTATGTGTCACGGTTTTGGCTGTTATTGTTGTTTATTTTTATCTGTATTTTTATGATTGCCCTATGAGCCACCCAGACAGCCTCTGGCTCTGAGGTGGCATATAAATACAATAACAAATAGACAAATATTATGTATTTATTGTAAAAATAAAATAAAAATCCGAAGGGACAGGAAGCCCAGGAGGTGCCACGTTAGTGCAAATAAGAGGTAAGTAAAACTTTGCAACTTTACAGGCAGTAATGATGAGCTTGTAAGTCAGGTATTCTTAAGAAAGACGTCCACTTATTTTACCAAATGCATCTCCAACTACTTTCTGCATAATTTTTGTGTTTCTATCACTTAACGGGAAATAATCAGACAAAGGCCGAAACCGAAGTTTGCAGGGGCAACGATGGAGGCGCTAGAGAAGACCCGCACTTCGGCGGAGGCCGATGCCCAGCTGCAGAAGCGGGCAGCGTTACCTGCGGAAGAGCTCCAGGTGCACGACGGCCGGGGCGATCTTCTCCACCACGTCGGCGATGAAGTTGAACCGGCGGCGCAGGCTGGCGGGGTCCCCGGGCCCTGCGGAGAGACGCGCGCCTCAGCCCCGCGCCCGCGCCGGGGCCCCATCCCCGCTCCGCCCGCCCGCCCGCCCGCCCGCCCGCTCACGTGCCTCGCTCCCCGCAGCCGCCCTTCTGCACCGCCACGGCCGGCGGCCGGCCGCGGAGGCGCGCCCGCCGGTTGCG